GCATCAACTGTACCGGTTGCTGGTGGCAAGGGTTGTAGGGATGATGATGATGGTGATGATGATGATGATGGTGGTGGGAGTAAGGTGCTTGGGTCGCTTGCTGTTGTTGAAAGCCAGATTCTCCTGCATTTTGGGGCTCAGGAGAGGAGGCTTGGACCATTCTGGCTGCCCAAGAGTAGGCAACCGACTGGCCAATGGGGATCCCACTACAATGATCAGAACCTATTGTGACGGCGTTCTGAACAGCACTCGAAGCTTCGGCCATCAGGGAAGACGATTCGCTTTGACTATCGGTTTCATCACTAGGGCCGATCGAACTAGTATTGGCGCCAAAATTGTTGAAAGACTGCGGTATGCTCAAGCTCCCAGTGTTGCTGCTAGTATTGCTATTACTTTTGTCAATAGAGCAAATACGACCTGTATCGCAGATTTCTGCAAGAAAATGGGAATTTAAGACCAGAACTCAGCAGAATTAGTTATCTCATCAGAATGAAGACATTTTAGCATTGAGTTATTTGAATAGCTCATAAAAACTTTCATGGAATACTGTGAGTTTTAAGAACCGGGCTTGGTTCTGACCCACATAATTTTGAATCCAAATTCCAAATTGTTCGACCATTGACTATCTACATACAAATACAAGTATTTAGAGATGATGACTATGAAATTTTGGCAGATACATCATCAAACATGACAAATAGAGATAGTGCAAGCTCAAATGTGGACATCCTTTAGTACAAAGGGTGCCAACTGCATAAAATGAGCTAATATTTGGTGCAAATAATAAGTGTGCATTACTTCTATGGACCTAATATCCTTTTATGAAGGAGTATCAATAAATCGTGTAATGCTATGGCCGATTTTCAGTTACCATTTCCTTATCCAAATCATTCCAAACCTGTTCAGCAAGTTATAGAAGGAGAATGCCTTTATTATTTATATGTTAAAAAGTGAACATGCGAATATCATTTCTAATTCCCCTAATTTTCAAGTTTTATAGAATAGATTTATAAAATGGTGGAGTAAGTGAAAGTTTTTTATTTAGTTCTGGATGAAATCTTAATATAGCCTTACCTTCACCTCGCTCTTGATAGCATCTTTGTGCCGAGCTTAGAGTGCCTCCAA